ATCCTCCTGCCTCAGCCTCCCATGTGCTGGGATTACAGGTGTGTGCCACCACACCCGGCCTCTCATACCCCTTCATTCTGAACACACTTATTCCATTGTTCTTGGCAATGTGACTTTTACTGTATTGTTTTCTTTTTTTAATTTAAGCCATTCACCATATTTTTGATCACCTCTTGTGTATACCAACACTGGGACCATACAGATAAGATTAGCATGGACCCTAAGCAAGAATAGCATGGACCCTAAGCAAGGATAGCATGGACCCTAAGCAAGGATAGCATGTAAATTCATGAAATGTTCTATGGTATTTTACAGTTAGAAAGAATTCTAGCATTCTACAGCACAGTAGAATGAATATAACTAACATTAAATATCTCAAAACAGCTAGAAAAGAAGATTTTGAAAGTAACCATCACAAAGAAGTAATAAAAATTTAAGGTGATAGATATACTAATTACATCAAATGGATCAATCATTACTCAAAATATACATAAACTGAAATATCACATTGTAATTCATAAATCTATACCAATATTACATGTCAATTAAAAATGAAAAAGTTATGAATTTCTAAAGATTTATTCCCTGGAAAGCATGTTCTTTTTCTTCTTTTAATTTTTTCCCTTTTACTTTCTAATGCTATTTTTTCTTTGAGACAGACAGGGTTTTGCTGTATAGTTCAGGATGGTCTTGAGCTTACTATGTAGCTAAGGTTGGCCTCAAACTTATGGAGATCCTCCTGCCTCAGCCTCCTGAGGGCTAAGATTACAAATGTTTGTCACCATGCCTGGATACCAACACTATTTTAGAAATATCTAAATGCAGGCAATCCTCTGCTAAAAAGAGCTGAAAAACAAGTTTGCTTTTATATACAAATGATATGGTTTTAAAATGTCTAGTTAGAAGTAACCAAATTAGAAAGTTTACTTTGCAATTTAAATATTGTCAGAAAAAATGGCTATACATCCACTATTCTGAAAGCACAACTGCCGTATAAATAGTGGCATTATTTTAGTTATCCTTGATGTACTTTTTTGGGCAGTTAGAGAGAACAAGAAAATGTAACACTGTTCAAAGCTGACACTTTTACTGCTATTTTGTTAAAACTTTTCTTTATACAAATTTGGTACCTGGTTACAACTACCATCAAATTTTTCAGGCTGAAAGAATGTAACTACATCACATGGAGATACATTTGGGGGGTTCGATCACCCATTCATCAGCAGAGCACTTTCAGACAATTCCCTCAGCTCAGCTCCCAGGCCCAACCTTCCGGTAGAGGCAGGCAGCCTTCGACTCAGGCACAAGTCCTTGTTCATCAACTGCCAGCCCAGGGCAACCACTCCCTGGGGACTGATGAGAGCGAGCAGTCTGCAGCCCAGTGATACCATCACTCATCCAACCTCAGTTGTTAGAAACGATATTTAGCAAACACTGAAACACTGATTGAAAGAAATGCACTCCAGTCAGTCCCTCAGATAGTCTAAGTAATTGTGCCCTGTCCCCAGTACAAGCCAGAGAGGCAGAGAGCAGGCATTTCCAATGCATCTTTCTTTGTCCATTGCACACTGAATTGTGCTTTTCTATACCAGAATGAGCCATGGGAAAGGGAACTACTATGTAAAAAGTAATCTTATAAACTCCTTGTAAAATGCTGTTCATCCTTTGTGCTATTTATGAGATCCCCTGCAATCAGAATCTGAAAAGGAATTTGATCTTCACGTTGAAAAAACCTTCATGCCTCCTGAAAAACAACAACCTTACAGACAATGCCATGGCTCCCTTTCTGACCAGACAGGTAGAAAACCCAAGCCCAAATCTGTGAGCCACCAATGACAAGTAAATGCATTATAAGGATATGAATTTTTCTTAACCTTATTCTTACATTTTTATGCCCCTGTCTTTGTGTTCTTTCTTTAGCTTAGACTTATAACCTATTATCTTTTATTTTATATAGTCATGCAGGTCACTTAGTCTTTCCTAGGGATAGAGTGGGGTATAGATACTCTTTTAAAAATTATATATTGGGACTGGAGATTAAGCTCAGTGGCACAGCGCCTGCCTGGCAAGCTCAAGGTCGTGAGTTCGATTCCCGGTGCCGGGAAAAAAAAAATTATATACTAAATATTAATGTAATAAGTCACAAAGGAAACTATCAAAAGATTTGACTACTCAAAAATATAAAATATTTATATGTCAAAAATATCATAGTCAAGGGGCTAGGGATTTATCTCTGGCACAGCGCCTGCCAGGCAAGCACAAGGTCATGAGTTCGATTCCTGGTACCAGAAAACAAACAAACAAACAAAAATATATATATACATCATAGACAAAAGAAACTATAAAATGGGAAAGATGTTTGACATAAATAACAAAGGATTAATGCTCATAGTACCTTAAAAATTCATATATATATCAGTAAGAATATTTACAGTATTTGACACATAAATGTAATAAATATGGTATACAGATCAGTCAAGAAAACTGGATATTGAAATAAATGAATTTGAAGGAAACTGACAGTAACTTGAATTGCCTTTCCAACATAGAGTCCTGGGACTATAGTGGACATTTCCTACTTAAGCCTCAAACATCACAGAGGTCAGTGACCTTGTTCAAGTGTGTTAAAGGTTACCCCCTACCCATCTGCTCATTTCTGTAAAGGAAAGGACAATTACCTACTCAGTGATCCTCAGGGAAGGAACAGTAAATATGTAATCTGACTGATAAGAGGCTACTATTCCTTGGGTCCCATTCCTAAAGGGTAGAGTTCATGTATTACAGGAATTGACAAAAGAAGGCAGGCTCTTCCTCTCTGGGACCGGCCTGTGCTCAGATATAAGGGGCACTTCATACCCTGTGGTCTCCAGCAGGTAAGCAACAGACGTCCGTCCAGTGTGCTGTCCTCTGCTGCTCGGCTGACACTGGGTGCATAAGCCAGTCAAGGCTTGCTTGCAAGTTGCCCAGATAGTTAAACCTTCTCCTCCAATAGAGCTTTCACCTGACATCCTTCTGGGGGTCAGTTCCTGGGAACTTGCCTAGTTCAATAACGTGGATGCTTTACTTCTCATTTGTCTGTCTATTGTGTAATCTCAGGGGGAAAGAAAGGTTAGAGCTCAGAGTATGTCTGTACAATGTGGATATGCTGACGTGGACCTGTAGTATAAACACGAGTTGCCGCAGGGCAACAGTATCAAGGAGAAGCAGAGTCTTTAGTCTCTGCAGCTGGAATGCAGGAACAGATGAAGTAGATACCCAGATATCAGGAAAATTTCACCAACCAGGCAAAGTTTTAACACACAGGTTCTAAGGCCTGAGCAGACAGAATTATTTCAACAATCACTTTTTTTTTTGCCTTTGTTTCTATCATATCTCTATCCGTGACCTTTAAACTGCCTACAAGTAGCTAAGAGCTACATGATTAAAGCAGTGGTCTCAAAATGTGGCCTGGGAGGGTCACCAAGGCCTGGGAGTTTGCAAGGAACAAAAGTTTAGGGCGCTCACCCCAGACTTACTGAATTAAAATCTCTGCAAGGAAGCCAGGAGCCTATGTTTCAATAAGCTCTTTAGATCATTCTTATGCTTGCTAAACTTTGAAACACCAAAGTATTCATGTCTCATGTATTTATTGTAGCTCAAGAGCAAAGGCCAAACTGTCTACCCGCTTCTCCTGGCTGCCTGTAAGTTTGTCTGTTATACCCAAAGGATTTAAGAACAAAAGAAACGGAAGAGAATTCTGTGTCCCTTCCCACCAGGGGAAAGCTAGAACTAAACCCCAAGTCTCCTGACCCCTACCATTTATGCTGCCGCACTTTGTACAGTTCAGTTCAGACACTGTGCTCAGGTACAAAACAAAAGGACATCCACACCTACCTGTTGGTGCAGTCATCACTGTTATTTGCACTGAATGCTGCTTGGGAGGTCCCAGCAGGGTGATATTCACCGTATAATCAGTTGCTGGATACAGATCCAAACACACTTCTGGAGCTCGTTCACTTGTTGTAAAGTTAAATGATGTTGCATGATAAAAGTTATCCAGGTACCACTTTTGACCCAGGACTTTAAACTGCCATGAGATTGAAAGAAAATGTTGCATTCAGTTTTCTGATGCTTGCAGATATAAGTAAAAATAAAGCAAGGGAGCTCCTCCAAATTTAACTTCACCCACTTAGGTTATTTTTAATGCAAAAGTGAGCTACACTAGGGACAGACTTTACAAAGCGACCTTCCTTATCACATTCAATTTCCCTTAGTGTAGGACTAAGACTAAAGTTCCTAACAGACGAATCTCAGGGAAATAAATACATCTCAGATGAACGAACTGCCAGGCTATTCTAAAGTCACCCCTCAATGCCCATGTAAGTGGAAGGGATTGCATTGGGCCTACTGGGCAAAATTCCTTTCATTTCTTTGCATTGTAAGGAATTCATAGACTTCTTTTCATTGTAGGAACTCTCATAGTGAGAATACCTAAACTTCACGAGGACTACCCAGATTATGCATTTAAAACCGTGCAGTGGCACTTCATTGATCTTTCCCATGAGAGCCCTGGTAGAAGAGCTTTGGATCCACTGAGGCATCACACATCCTGCTAACTCAATCCGACCCCACCATCAGCACTCAGGCAATGGATACACTCAGGCAGTGGAGTTACAGGGGAAACACTTTTGTGAACATCTCAGGAGTAAGATGATGAGCCAAGATCATGCACTTTACTTGGCAGAAACCCTGTGCTTAGTGTTCCCGCTGATGCATGTGTCCCTGACTATCCTACCCTCTCTCCCTCCTCACCCCTGCCAATCACAGACTCGTGCCCATGGCTCTATCAGGCCACGCAAGACCTGGACACCAGGTTCACAAAGATCCCTCTCACTCTTGACTTCTCGAATTTTCTTAGATCGCATAAGTGTCCCTATAGACCATCAGAACTTGGTCTCAGAGTTCCTTGAGCTCAACGCTATGAACTTGTTCACTCCAGTTCAGCCACCCACAGCCACAGCCTAGACGGCATAATCCTCAGAGCGGCTCCCCAGGATCACGCAGTGCCCTGCTCTTTTGGTCCACTTACTAGGGGGGTACAACGTGCGCTCGTGCGTGTTTGGGAAACATGAAGATTCTCTTACGCAAAGCGCTTGTGAATGTTCACTTTTCCCAACGGGTTTAAGAGGGTCTCGCGCGTTACATTAATTCGTCTTTGTCTAACATATGAAAAACAGCAATTTTTTTCAATTTTACCCTTTAATCATTTTAGTGTAGGGTTTGAAGTAAGAATGATTTATTTTATTAATTAGGTGGTTAACCAACTTCTTGTCCCTGTTCTTCAATAACATCATCCTGTCATTGCATAAACATTCCATTTGTTACTGAGTTAAATTACTTGGCTATGTGAATATGCTCCCAGCCATGAGGTTATTTATATTATGAAAATCTTTTACTTACTACCTACCTACTTCATTTTCCTTACCTACTTAAAAATCCTTCAGTGGCTCTACATCGATATAAAAATAAAATTCAAATGTAAATGCAGAGCGTACAGGGATTCTTATGACCTGTCTTCTGCTTAGATTTTTGCCTTATCTCTCCCCACTCCCCTTTGCTTTCTCTATTATCCATTATGCTACTCTACTCGCCCACAATACCCTTCTTTACCCTCACTCCAGCTCCTGTAAATGGCTAATTCCTGTCCATTTTCTATGGCTCAGCAGTCTTTATTTCTTAATTTAAAAAATTGTACCTGGACAACACACACATGCACAGTATCTCATTCCACTATTTATTTTTTATTAAAGTGTTCATTATGCCATATGGTAGTTATGTATTTACTTACACACTTCTATTTGTTTGAATAGGAACTTCTAGGCCCTACTATGTGATATTCTTGTGGTAAATAGTTAAGGAGTGAATAATTGACTTCTTGTGGGAGGCGGTGTTCAGGATTGAACCTAGGGCCTTATGCACGCTAAGCCACATCCCCAGCCTGTGAACAATTAGTATTTATTTAATACTTACTGCTTCCTGCCAGAAGGTTTTTAGGCACCAAAAATAACACAAAAGTCTCCATTCCTGCCTGAACTCACTTATGACTTTGTGATGTTAAAAAAAAATCAAATTAGGTCTGGGGATGTAACTCCATGGTAGAGCACTGGTCTAGCATGTACAAGACCTGGGTTCAAGCCTCAGCAACACACACACCCACACACAATCAAGTTAAATGAGAGCCAATAGCCCTGCAGTGAGTGTCTTAAGAATCCTTGCCCATATATAAATTTGATGACAAAATATGGTATAATCATTAAGTGCACTAAAATAGAACATAGGTGGGAAGTACCAGGCAGAGGAAATGATAGCAAGTCATCAAACAGAGTGTCTTTCTTTCAATTTAATCCCTCACTTACACCCATCTCACACCTCACATCTATCTCCAGGAACAATAATCACAAACTGTCTAGAAGGTCACTCCACTCATAGTTTTTAAATACTTTGGATTCTAACTTGGTGATCGTCTAAGTTCTTAAGTGGCCAACTCTTGGACAGACAGTGTCAAAGATCTTCTTACTTGATACATTTGTTCTGATCCAACCTTCCTGGAATGCCTTTTCAATTTCAAACAAGTTTCATTGAATACCGAGACACTGAAAATTCCATCATCTTCTAAGAGATCATCTTCTAAAAGACAAGAGAAAATACAGACAAGTCATAACATCACAGCAAAACATCGCGCCTAAGTACTACCCTGAGAACTGGGAGGTGTTTGAACAGGAAGAGCGTTAAATTTGGCATCAGCAGACTTAGCTCTGTGTCCTGGCTCCATAACTGCTTGGCTGTATAATCTCAGTGCTTCTGAGGCTCAGTTCCCTCATCTGTGAAATTAAGTAATCCAACTTGCCTTCCTTATACCCCAGGCTACTGCGATAACCACAAGAAATATTTAAACATTATTGTAAGTTACTAAAGCTACGCCTTCTGTCAAAGTTAATCTTATCACTTGGGTGATCCTAGGAAACTGTCATGAAGGTATGAATACATATAACCAGAAAGTCTGAGACAAACAAGGAAGAATAAAAAGCAAAGGCCAGGAAGTCCCAGGTCAGGTGCTTTCCAACAAAGAAAATGACTAAGCAGGAAGATAATGTTCTCACAGGAGACAGTATTTGAAGAGTTGCTCAGCCGTGCTCAGCTAAGACAATGAAATAACCAATAAAATAACCAGAAGGCAGATTTGTTTCCACCATTGTATAGGAAAAGTCATTTCATACCTCCCGCAGTGAAATTCATTTCTGCGGTGTTTCATCTTCTTTATATAGTCAATAAAGAAAAGGTGTCTTGTAATGAATTAAACAACTCAAAGGAATAACAAGGTAATTTTAAAGGAAAAGCAAATTTCCTGACAACTCTCTGATTTCCACCAATGACAAAATATGGCCTCCTCCCCTCCCCTCTCTTCCTTCCTGCTGCTCAGAACTGAACTGCGATCTCCATACCAGCAAAGCGCAGGTCAGGAACTAGACATGGTGGGGCACATCCATAAGCCCATCACTCTGGGAGGCTGAGTGAGCCAAGAGGACCACAAGTTTAAGCCCAGTCTGGGCAACACAGTAAGATCCCGTGTCAACTTTTTTTTTCAAATTTTAAAGAATTGAGTTGTGCTGAGCGTGGTGGCGCATGCCTGTAATCCCAGCCCTCGGGAGGCTGAGGCAGGAGGATTGTTGTGAGTTCAAGACCAGCCTGGGCTACAAAGTGAGTTCAAGGCCAGCCTGAACTGCATAGAGAGACCCTGTCTCAAAAAGGCACAAAAAAAAAAAAAAAAAAAGAACTGAGTATGTAGTACAGTGTGAAGGTCCTGGGTTTAATCCCCAGTGTGAAGGAAAGGAAGGGGAGGGGATGGAAGGGATTAGGAAAAGGGAAGGAAGGAAGAAAAGGATAGAGGGAAGAAGGCAGAGAGGAAAGGAGGGGAAAAAGCCTGTGCTCTACCAGCGCCCCCCCCAAAATTTAGATGTCTATCAGACAAAAGCCACTTTATAACTACCTTTAAAGTGCAGTTCTCCTGGGGGAGCCTCTGCCCCTTGAGAAGTATTAATGATAACAATATCATTCTAATCAAAATCAGAACTATCCACAGCATTTTCAATAACACTAACATAGGCAGCACAAGGCAATTAGCTGAGAGACAATATTCCTGGCTATAGCTGAAAAATGCAGAAATATGGTTAGGAAAAAGAATGTGAAGACCTGTCATATGGGTCCTCCTTCATCCTCACAACTTTTACTTTAAAGGTTTCCTAAGGACATCAAGGAGAGACATAGCCATACACACACTTGGGAGTGTTGAGGAGTGCCAAATGTGTGTATGTAAGAAATGTACATAAACTGGGCGTGGTGGTGCATGCCTGTAATATCAGCACTTGGGAAGCTGAGGCAGGAAGATCCTTGCAAGTTCCAGACCAGCACAGGCTACAAATGAGCTCAAGGCCAGCCTGAACTGCACAGCTAGACCCTGACTCAAAAAAAACAAAAACAAAAAAAAAAAAAAAAAAAAAAAACACAGAAAACAAAAGTCAATTAAAAAAATGTACGTAAGAAATGCCACATAGACAACACAAGCAGGAGTGCTGTGTGCATAGCTCACACATCACACAAGCATCACAGTCTCAATGCAGGGGAAGACAGCAGTGTGAACAAAGGCATCCAGCTTCTCCTTCCTACGCCCGATCCTGACAGAAGTGACTGAGAAAAAAATAAAAATGGGTCAAAATTTGCATCTGGGTTGGAAAGAAGGGTTGGTTGCCACACACAAAGCTGAAACATGGAGAGATTTCTGCTTGGCACACTGTGGGAGAGACTGGGCTACAGGGAAACACTGAGAGCTACTACACAAAGTGCTTTCCAAGTGGAGGAACGTGGTCTCCAAACTGCAAGTGAAGGAAGGGCGAGGACCTGGAGCCCACAGAGGAACCCAGACAGGACGTGTCCACAAGGACGCAGCAGTGATGAATGTCCTGAGGCCAGGTAGCCCTGTGACTCCACATCAGAATCACCCAGCAGATCTGAAATCATGTTTACACATCTGTATTTTTTTTTAAGTCACCAGGTAATTCTGATAGGCAGTCAGGACAAAAAGTGTATACACTCCTATTACTAATACAATGGACCCTTGAGTTACAACTGGCCTGACCTACGAACAACTTGGGCTATGACCGGAATTTTAGTTTTAACTTACGGCCAAAGTTTTGAGTTATGACCTGAATGCCGCTTGTGCTTCCAGATGGTCTCAGATACAGATTTAAGCCTTAAAGAGTTCTGGAAGGGACATCACAACATCCTTTCCTCCATGGGGTTAACTGAGAAATCCTGGCCCAGTGTTTCTCTGAGGACACTGAGATCTGCCTGTATACAGGAGAGAGACTTTGAGGGCTGTGTAGAGGAGCCTGAGACTTCCACTGACAACTTGAGTTACAGCCAGCCCTCGGGAACAAACTGAGTTTGTAAGTTAAGGGTCCACTGTAACAATAATTTCTCAGCCCACTAGAGATCGGTAACATGGAAAAACTTCTAAGTGGAGACCCTGGAACCTATAGGTTCCTCCAGGCAGAAAGCCTTGTTAACACAAAGACCTGCCCTTTTCCTGCTTTGAGAAGCTACAGCCACACAAGAAAGCCGGGTAGTGCCGAGCTGACCTAAGGCCAAGAGCTTCAACACTCAAGTTGGCAATGCACTCAGAGGTAAAATTCAGGGCGGGGGGCTTCCCGGCAGCTGCTCCAAAGGAGGCTGGCTCACCGATCAAGCAAATCCTTCACAAGGAGATCGGAGATAAGCACACTAATATTATCTCCCAAAAAGTAAGATCAAAGGGAATGCTATCCATTTTATTATAAAGGAAATGAGACCTAGACAGAAGCTTCATCATCCCAGAATAAGTAATCTAGAAGCATCTCACTGCCCCCCATAACAGCCTATGATATGATTCTCCCAAAGGGAGATCACACTTAGGAAGCAAAGAATGAGCACAGTTTTGAAAAGAGCATTGAGCAAAGTGATGGTAGTATCATGGGAGCATTTATTTTGTACCTCTTCTACTTCTACAGAAACATTAAATTTAAAAATGGATTCCAAGCCGGGTGTGGTGGCGCATGCCTGTAATCCCAGTACTTGGGAGGCTGAGGCAGGAGAATCGTTGCAAGTTTGAGGCCAGCCTGGGCTACAAAGTGAGCTCAAGACCAGTCTGAACTGCATAGCAAGACCCTGTCTCAAAAAGACAAAAACAAACAAATAAAAATGGATTCCAATGAGAGATAAAGGACAAGATAATGAGAATGTGACAGTGGAGAGAAAATTGGTTGACAAAAGCAGAAAGAAGCCATGGTGGCACACGCCTATGATCCCGGCACAGATCATCCGCTGAGGCAGGAGGATCACTGTAGAGGCCAGCTTGGGCTACACAGCAAGTTCAAGGCCACCCTGGATGGCACAGCCAGACCATTATCAAAATAAATAAATAAAACTGTCCTCAGAAAGATTCTCCACATACTCTAACTCCTAGAGTACACACAAAGCAGTATTATCCAGATAGCTTTTAAGAAGGAAAAAGGAAACAAAAGCATATTACATAAGTAGAAGAACAAAGAGATCAAAAAATATTACGTACAATGTATAGCAAATAGTATTTAACAGGTTAAAGTGGGTCATTTGCTACTAGTGAAAGTATCTATAATTAAGATGTCATGAACATAAATTAGGTAACATCAGCACATGTGAAACAAAACACTTAGAATATATAAGGGAAATTGAGAAAAATGGCAATCCATTACAGAAGTAAATACAGAAGTCTGGGGAAACTGTATTAATAACGTTGATCTAAAACTATATCTTGGGGCTGGGGATTTATCTCAGTAGCACAGCTCCTGCCTGGCAAGTGCAAGGTCATGAGTTCGATTCCCAGTACCGGAAAAAAACAAAAATAAATAAATAAATACATAAAACTATATCTTACAGCACCTCTATCCAAACACTCTACTGCACTATCCAGCACCTACTGAAAAACAAACATGGCCAAAAAGTATAGGCCTAAGAAAATGTCAATAAATTTCCCAAAGCATACAAACTGTATCAAACTACTGATTTTTTGTGTGTATGTGTGTCTTTTTTGAGACAGGGCTCACTAAGCAGTTCAGGCTGGCCTTGAGCTCACTTTGTAGCCCAGGCCGGTCTCTATTTCGGAAGGATCCCCCTGCCTCAGCCTCCCAAGTGCTGGATTACAGGGATGCACCCTCATGCCCCACTGTCAAACTAATAATTATTAATAAAGTATAAATATTAAAAGGAAAAAACTACCACTTTTATGTCACAATTATAACTAACTCTTCAATCAAAAGGAAAAATCAATACACTGCTTTGAAAGTAAGGATAAAGAGAACACGTATTAACATACTCATAAATAATTCTTCAGCCAAAAGGAAAATCTGATAACAATTCTACCATGACTTCAAAGTAAGGGCAAAGAGAATATGTACTAATGCCTAAGGGAGTCTGCTAAAACGCAAACCCAGAAGGCAGAAAGAAGCACTAAGGATTTATTAGCAAACAAGATACTGATATCTGATTAACCCCTCAAGTGACTTTCTGCTGGAAAAAACATGGTCTTTGGAGTCAGACCTGGGAGCAAAGTATGTTTCTACCTTTGCTGGACATCTGTTCCTCTTCCTGTTTGTTTACGTACTGTTGTGCAGATGTGTCAACCTCTTCCCCTAGAGCCTGTGCATTTTGTTGTCTGATTTCATTACCAGGGTTATCCTCGTCCCCTCAAAATGTGATGGGAAGTTTTGTATATATACATATTCACCCTAGAAAAGTTTCTGTCACTTAGGAGTGATTCCCTTTCTTTAAATCTGGACAGGTGCTCACGCTGGCAGCACATATACTAAACCTGGACGGATTCGCTCACTAGGTCATTTAAGTTTCATCCCTGTGTGGAGCTGATTCTTTGACAACTTGGTCAGGTTCCCCATGATCTTTGATTAGTTTCCATTTCCTGGATATTCTTGAGGTAATTCATATAATTTATATTTTCTTTAAAATGTCTACTTTGTTGGGGTTAGAAGTTATCTAACCCCAGGTTATTCTGATTCCTAAATTTGTATTTCTCTCTCCTTAAAAAAATGCTAGCTTGCATTGCCTGGAAAGTGACTTGAGGGGTTAGTCAGGTATCAGTAAAAACAGCTGACTATGAACAGCAAGCTGCCTTTCTGACTCACAGTGACAGATGAGTCTGAGGTCCTGTGATGATTTTTTCAAGATATATCCGTATAAATCCATTGTAGTTTATCATTAACTTTAAAAAGTTTAGCTGCATATTAATTTTATAGTATCTTTGCTACATATTATTTGCTTAAAAGAAATAATTTTGTTTTGTTTTATTTTATATACAAATACTGAGGCCTAACTGGTGAATTTGGGCAATTTGTTTTCATAACTGCTAAAACAGGTAGACTTTTTAGTTATTTCTGTACAATTTTTTTACCTGGTGGCACAATATCTAAGATTTGGGATATGTATATTGGGGAGAGAGGTGGTACTGGGGATTGAACTCAGGGCCCTAACCATGCTAGGCAAAAACTCTACATCCCCCATCCTTTTCATTTTATTTTGAGATAGGGTCTTACTAAGCTACCCAGGCTCCAACTTGTAATCCTCCTGTCTCAGCCTTCTGAGTAGCTGAGATTATATGCCTGTGTACCACACCCAGCAGTGTAGATTTTAAGTAGGACATCAAAGAGCTAGTTAACTCATAAATGACACCAATAGGGGCCAAGGGATATAGCTCAGTAGCACAAGTGCCTGCCTGGCAAGTGCAAGGTCCTGAGTTCAATTCCCAGCACACAAAAAAAGAAAAAAAAAATGACGCCAATGGTTTTTCCAGGCCTGTCTATACAGTACTATTAAATAAGAATTATTTTTTTTAAACAAAGAACTTCCTGCAATTGTTACAATGTTGTTTTAAACATCCACATGACAATTATGTGCAATGGAGTTTATTCCCACTTCTTAAAGCTTCAGGTCCGCTCCTATTTTCAACCAGCACCGACCCCGTCCATCCTGTGGCTGCCTCCCCCTTTCCACTCACCCACTCCCGACCTGATTCTCTAGCCCCATCAATCCCGGGGTCAGCTCCCATCCTGGACGTGAAGCTGCAGGCTCAACCTCCCTGACTCTCCCCTCTCACAGGCAAGGGCAAGAAAGTGCCCGCGGGTGCCGTTTAGTCTGCTGCTGAAAACAAGCGTGTCTCTACTGTATCTCCTCTGCTTCTGACCCGTGGGGCAGCTCCATACCCCAAAGCACAAATCTCAGAAGAAAAACAGGAACTCTCCTGCCCAGCTGATGCCAAAGTTTATTGGCACATCCTGTGCTGAGCTTTTCCCAGAAGGAAACGAGTCTCCAGCTCCACCTACCAGCTGTCTGGAAACCAAGGATGGCAGGCACGGAGCGCCTGGGAGGAGCGGTGGAAACGTTCACAGTGTAGTTGGTGCCTCGGTACAGGCTGAGGCACACTTCTGGGGTCCTGCTGTCTGTGGTCAAGTTGACTGTCTCCTCATGAACTGATTCCACAGGGTCCCACCGTTGTCCTTTTATGTTTATCTTCAGGACAGGAAAAGACAAGAGAGCCCACCACAGCTCTAGTCAGAACAACAAAGATTTGATGGCCCTGGAGCCTAATTATTGTACCATTCTATCTCTCCCTGCACTGTTCGACCCAGAGGATAGAAAAGGCTAACTTCTGCCCTCGGGCATCTAAGGAGGAAGTCCTCAATCCACCCAGTAACCAATAACCCTAAGAAGTGACATAAATGAGGACTCTCTGGGAAGCGCTATCCTGCCCATAAACGATCTTCAGTAAATGGAAGCTGTCACAACCAAGGACCACCTGTGCATTCTGTCACCAGGTCAGCAGATGTTTCCAGGCTTGCTCCGGGAGAGTGAAATATGAGTGCTTGAAACAAGCAATGATGACCATGTCAAACACAAAGCCCTCCCTCCTCACACACACACACACACACACACACACACACACGTACGCTCCGTGTCAAATGACCGCACGCTGCAACATGATGTGAAAAATAACAAACAATTCAGATATCTTAAAAACTCCATTCACTTTTTAAAGTGGCAATGGAATTGGAAAGCAGTGAAAATGGGAGGACCTTCCAGAAGGAAATCCTGACTCAGAGTCCCACGGGTTTACCATTTCCGTTCTAGCAGAAAAAAAAAGTAGATCCCATTACTTACCACGTACGTGATCTCGGAGCTTATCCTTCCTGAGCTTGTTTGCCACCTCAGACAGGTGTTATTAAACACCGATACATTATTAATTTCTGTCATTATTTCTAGAATGGAAAAAGAGAGTTGACTTGCAAAATGCACCAGAGGGCTTTGGAAAAATCTTAGTGGAGATTCGTTTGTCTGTCCGCCTGCTACCTCTGCTGAGCACCATTCATGCTGTGATTCCGGGCCAATCGCACAACTTCCCTTCATCATGAATGAGCCAGGCCCTTTCCCGGGAAAGGTGGGAAAAGACTCCTACTTGAGGACAGTAAAGCACTCCAACCTGTGATTAGCCCGACAGGCCACTGGATGCCACTGGTGTTCCACTCATGTGGGCCTAAGCTGCGTCCCGAAAGGAATCTGCCCTGGAGCCACCCCGCTCCCCTCCCACCTCCCTCATCTCAACTGGGTCACCACAGCTCACAAGAGGGAAAGGACACACGGCCCCACATGGAACCATTCGCCAGGAGCACTCGGGTGAACTACATTCTCCACAAAATCCCTACTTCCAGAACTCCTTTGACCGAACCTATGTAATCCTGGTCTGTTAGGAAGCCATGGGGTTCTGCTTCTTTTAAGTATTCTGCATATATCCCATCTACATGTGGAAAACGATGTTAGGGCCTTGGTTTGCTGAGGTAGCACAGTTCCCGGTGGACCCACTCAACCGACCACCTGGGAAGTTGCTCCAATCAGGAGGGAGGCAGGGGGAGGAGCTACCTTTTTACTCCTTCAAGATCAAATTTCTTAAAAATCAGTAAAACATTTTCTCTGTTTGCAAATAATATAATCGTAAACATAGAAAACGCTAAGGAATTAAAACATTCAAAAGCTATTAAAGCTAAAAAAAGGAGCTCAGTTGGAAGGCATAAGACTAATCTGTAAAAATCAGTTGTGTTTCTATACACTAAAATTGAGCAATTCAAAATGAAATTAAAACAATTTCATTTACAATAGCATCAAAAAAAAAAAAAAAAAAACCCTCCTACCAGTATGCTGTCTTTACTGGAAAAAAGAATCCTCATTTTATCTCAAAAGAAATACAAGGTGTAATAAAAAAATATAGTGAAGGTTTAAGTATAGCGAATGTTAAAATTATTAGACATCACAGTACCATTAATCCACCTCAAAACCCTCTCCCTTAATTTCAACACACTTATCCCTTTGTTCTTGCCACTTTCTGAAGCAGTTCTGGGAGTTCTCTTTCATGAGTGTCTTTAGGTGTGCTGTCATGCACATTCTGAATCAATGTAAAACATCTTTCATAGTCATGTTGACTTTAGGAAAGAGCCAGAAGTTACACAGTGCCAGAGCCAGTACATAAAGTGGATGAGGACACATTAGAGCGTTTCTGCAAGCCTGCTTTTTCACTGGATGGCACTCAGCAGGAGCATTAACTGTATTTCTGATCACACTTCATAAAGACACTTACAAAAGAAGGCTTCCAAAACTGCTTCAGAAAGTGGCAGGAATAACGGGCTAGATTTGTTCCAAGTGGCAGCATTTAGAGATTAATGGCAATGTGCCTCGTTCACAATAATTATTTAAACTTAAATATTCGCTGTATATTTCCATCACCCCTTGTGTTCCATAGCCCCAGTGCAGGCTTTCCCATAGAATCATGATTCTTCAGTTCTTCTTAGTCTCACTTGTTCTTTGCTCCAGCCCTCCACAGTTTTTTGTTTTTGTTACTGTGTTTTGTTTTTGAGATTAACTCTCGATATGCTGCCCAGGCTGGCCTTGAACTGGAGGTCCACCTGCCTCAGCATCTCAGGTAGCTGGGATTCCACCATCATGCCCACACTACACAGCCTTTGAATGTGGCTGTGTCTTGATCCTTTCTGGGGTGTCCCTGCTGTGGCTTCTATACCACAATGCATGCACCCTGGAAGTACAGGGGAGTTAAAATCCCATGGGAAGGGGAGCTAGAAGATAAATTCTTCCCCCGTGTTTCCCTACAGGGTGCTCTACAAAGACTGAATTCTACAGCCCCTTAGATGCCGTCACAGTGATGGACAATCCCTTGTACTCAGTAGCGATCAGTACAGTAAGGCTGTCCTTACCCTTTACTACTTCTCTTGGTCCCCACTCCTATTTCCTGAGAGTCTCTTCCCTGTTACATAATAAGCCCCTTGCCTCTGGCTCTGTCTTCTGGGAAACCCCAGGTAAGATTCCTGTCAAGAAGAGCGACAAAGATAACTCTCTATCTCATAAAATGACCCTCCTCAACTCAGTTCCCGGTCCTTCCTTCTAGTAAATCTCTTCTCAGCCTCCAAGTGGAAAAAAAAAAAAGCTACACCTCTGGTGTCTCTATGGTTAACTCATTTCTCCTGTACTCAGCACCAAGGCCCAATTTGGATTGACCTGATCTACTGATCTCTCTGCCCACTGAAGATTTTACATTTTTACTAACACATCCCATCACAGCATTACCTAGATTCAATGTCCCACACTACCTGTGGTTAGTTAAATCCAGGCCATCTATAGTAAGAGAAAATGAATGGAAGCAGACAGGAAAACACACAAACTCTCCCAGAGATCCCAGGAGATCACCTATTAGCTGTCTAAGAATCCTTGGATCTGTACATCTCTTCAGACATAGATAATTCAAAAATCAAAGGAATACTCCAGTTGTGGACATGGGTAACCTAAGAGATACAATGAACTTATCAGTTCGCCTCCATAGGTAGCATGAAGAGGCTGCTACACCAGTCTTTTATCAGCCTGAAAAAGCCCCAGATATTCCTGGCCCCTTCCTCTCCGTCCTCCAAAGCCCCAGAGCTCTTACATCTCCGCCCACTCACACACCCTCCAGTGCTAGCTCACCACATGGTCCAAAAGGAAAAAAAAAAAATCTCAGCCCTCATCTGTCTGGGTTGCCCATAAGACCAATTTCCTTCTCACTCTGGGTTCCTTTGTCACCCAAGCAGAGATGACAAGGAAGTTTTTTCCTTTCTTGTCCTTCCTTTTTGCTCATTCACTATGACTAATGTAAATGACATCTCAGAGATGCCATCTGCCTCCAGCCTGTGCCACGCTCTCTGAATAGAGGAGATCCAGATCCAATTATAGGGATGTCAGATAGCTCATCCCAAGGAACAGTTTAACAAAGTTGAGTGGTTTTTCTCTCCAACTGTCTACACATCAATCAGAAAGGCTTCTTCATAAACACACCAAATAATAAAACCACCGTACTGATACTGTCCTTTTAAGAAATAATTTGGAAAGACATGCCCTTCTTCCAAAAGTACTGATAACGGAGGACATTTCTGGAGGTTCTCTTTGGAACTGTCTCTAGGATGCTTCACGCTTTACTCATCACTGACAGAATGACACCAAATGCCAAGCATCCCACCATGCCAGGTCCTGGACTGTGACAACAATCACTGCCAGTCCTTTCCTCAAGAATCATTTTGTCTAACGCAGCAAACCCACAGACACAGGTAAATTACAACTCAGTGTTATTACAAAGCTACATCTAAATGTCACAGGCATGGAGAAAAGGGACATTTCACTGGAGGACCTGGCCAGCTTCCCGCAAGGTATGACCTTAATAGATAAATAGTTAAAGAGTAGGGAAGGCAAAAGCGTTGAAGACATCATAATACAGTGGTACATGCATTCCCATGTTTATAGCAATACAATCCGTAACAGCTAAATCTTGGAAGCAGCCTGTATGTCCATCAACAGATGACTGGATGAAGAAAATGTGATATTTACCACAATAAAGATAAACTTGTGCCATAAAGATAAACTTGAGTTGTTTTTAGGAAAATGGATGCACCTTTAGACCATAACATAATGTTAAGTGAAAAAAATCAGATACACAAGCTTAAATATCGGTCCCAGTCACTGAGCCGCCGCCGAGGACTCAACTGCCTCCCCCTCGAGCCCCCTGCTTCCCAGTGATCCGTCCCCTCTGCCCGCCTTCTCTGGCAGCCGCCTTCCACAGGCCACTTCGACCGAGGAAAAGGAATCGTATCGTATGTCCGCTATCCAGAACCTCCACTCTTTCAACCCCTTTGCTGATGCAAGTAAGGGTGATGACCTGCTTCAGCACTGAGGATTATATCCATACAGGAATCCAACAGAGAAACGGCAGGAAGACCTTACCACTGTCCAAGGGATCGCAGATGATTAGATAAAAAGCAACTGGTGAAGGCGTTTAAGAAGAAATCTGCCGGCAATGGTACTGTCATCGAGCATGCAGAATATGGAGAAGTAATCCAGCCCCAGGGTGACCCGTGCAAGAACATATGCTAGTTCCTGGTAGAGATCGGATTGGCTAAGGACAATCAGCTGAAGGTTCATGGGTTGTAAGTGCTTGTGGCTCATTGCAGCTTAAGTGAGGATTTCCTTGCAATGCGTACACCGCCCTTTCAGTCCCTTGTCATAGTTTAAAAACCTCACAGCTTGTATAATGTAACCACTAGAATCCACCTTCATTTGGACTAGTGTAACTCCTCCATGCAATAAACTTTCTGAAAAGAGCCCCCCCCCAAAAAAAAGCTTAAATATCACACTGATTTCTCTTATATGAAAAACTCAAACTGTGAAGATCGGGATAAAAGATGGTAACAGGAAGGAGGAAGGTAAGTCTTTCTCAGATGGGAAGGGATGAAGAGATGGAGGGAGGGGAAAGGAGAAGGGGGGTTAAAAATAAGAATTCAGGTGTATTATGTAGAAGTATCAACTCCACACAAGGAATATAAATATTACATACTACAAATACACACTAGTAAAATTTCTTGTAAGTTTTTAAAAAGAGTAAGGAAGACACGTGAACAGACAGAACAGCAGGTCTGATGCCTGCGACAGTACAAGGGTGTGGATATTCAGAGTGGTGAAAATGTCACATAACTGTGGAAGAGGAAAGGCGGGAAGTGAGGCTTCAAGGGTGTGCAGAAGAGGCTGAGGCAGGCCTTGCTTGCCAGACGAAGTCCAGACTCACTCCTCTAAGAACCAAAGACCTAAAAGCCGGAAAATGATAGGAATTGTTTGCTATTTAGAAAGATAACTCTTATTGTATTTTGGTTTTTATGGGGGTTTTGTTGTGGTTGTT